TTTTGGTGGGTTTAGGTCAATTTTTTGATGGTTTCAAGACCTGTCCATTTGGTTCAGAAGAAATTTTGGGGGTTTCAAGACCTTTTTGGTGGTTTCAAGACCTTTTTGTTGGCTAAACACCAATTTTTGGTGGTTTCAAACTGGTTTTGGTGGGTTCAAGACCTCTCCATTGGGTATGGAAGAAATTTTGGTGGTTTTAAGCCATTTTTTATGATTTTAGGTCAATTTTTGATACTTTCAAGACATTTCTGTTGAGTTTGGATAAAATTTTGGGTTTCAAACCAATTTTTGATGGTTTCAAGACCCGTCCTTTGGGTTTGGACCAAATTTTGGTGGTTTCAAACAATTTTTGGTGGGTTTAGGTCAATTTTTGACGTTTCAGTTGAGTTTTGACCAGTTTTTGATGGTTTCAAACGATTTTTGATGGTTTCAAGACCTTTCTGTTTGGTTTATATCCATTTTTGCTGGTTTCAAGACTTATGAGTTTGGATGACATTTTGGTGGTTTCAAACCAGTTCTTCATGGTTTCAAGACTTTTCTGTTGAGTTTCGACCATTTTTTGTATTTTCAAGCAATTTTTGGTGGCTTCAAAGACTTTTCAGCTGAGTTTAGACCAAATTTTGATGGTTTCAAGACCTTTCTGTTGGGTTTATATGAAATTTTGTTGGGCTCAACCCAATTTTTTGTATTTTCAAGCAATTTTTGGTGGCTTCAAAGACTTTTCAGCTGAGTTTAGACCAAATTTTAGTGGTTTCAAGACTTCTCTGTTCGGTTTGGAAGAAATTTTGGTGGTTTCAACCAATTTTTGGTGGTTTCAAAGACCTTTCTGCTGAGTTTAGACCAATTTTTGGTGGTTTCAAGGTCTTTCTGTTGGGTTTGGAAGAAATTTTGGTGGTTTCAAACCCTTTTTGGTGGGTTTAGGTCAATTTTTTGATGGTTTCAAGACCTGTCCATTTGGTTCAGAAGAAATTTTGGGGGTTTCAAGACCTTTTTGGTGGTTTCAAGAACTTTTTGTTGGCTAAACACCAATTTTTGGTGGTTTCAAACTGGTTTTGGTGGGTTCAAGACCTCTCCATTGGGTATGGAAGAAATTTTGGTGGTTTTAAGCCATTTTTTATGATTTTAGGTCAATTTTTGATACTTTCAAGACATTTCTGTTGAGTTTGGATAAAATTTTGGGTTTCAAACCAATTTTTGATGGTTTCAAGACCCGTCCTTTGGGTTTGGACCAAATTTTGGTGGTTTCAAACAATTTTTGGTGGGTTTAGGTCAATTTTTGACGTTTCAGTTGAGTTTTGACCAGTTTTTGATGGTTTCAAACGATTTTTGATGGTTTCAAGACCCATCCTTTGGGTTTGGACCAAATTTTGGTGGTTTCAAACAATTTTTGATGGTTTCAAGACCTTTCTGTTGAGTTTTGACCATTTTTTGATGGTTTAAAACCAATTTTTTAGGGTTTCAAAACCTTTCTGTTTGGTTTAACCCAATTTTTGGCATTTTCAAGTCAATTTTTGATGGATTGAAGACCTTTCTCTTGGGTTTGGACCAAATTTTGGTGGTTTCAGGCAAATTTTTATGCATTTAGGCAATTTTTGATGGTTTCAAGACTTTCCGTTGGGTTTACACCAATTTTTGGCATTTTCAAGCCATTTTTGGTGGCTTCAAAGCAATTTCTGACACTTTTAAGACTTTTCTGTTGGGTTTAGACCAATTTTTGGTGGTTTCAAGCTAATTTTGGTGGGTTTTGGCCACTTTTTGGCAGTTTCATGAAATTTCTGTTGAGGTTGCGCCAAATTTTGGTGGTTTTGAACCATTTTGGTGCGTTTGGACCAATTTTTTGATGGTTTCAAGACCTTTTTGTTGGTGTAACACCAATTTTTGATGGTTTCAAGACCTGTCCATTGGGTTTGGAAGAAATTTTGGGGGTTTCAAGCCAATTTTTGTGATTTTAGGACAATTTTTGATGGATTCAAGACCTTTCAGTTGAGTTTTGACCACTTTTGGATGGTTTAAACCAACCTTCAATCGTTTCCAAATTTTTCTGCTCATTTCCCACCATTTTTATGACTTTCAAGCCATTTTTGATGACTTCAAGTCCATTTTTTTCACTTCCAACCCATTTTTGCCACTTCCTAACCAATTCTTGATGACTTCAAGACTTCTCTCTTGGCTCCTCACCAATTTTTGTCATTTTCAGACAATTTTTTTTCCCCTTTCAACCAATTTTTGCCACTTTCAAGACAATTTTTGATGGTATCAAGATCTTCTCTTGGTTCCTCACCAATTTTTGCTGCTTTCCCACCAATTTTCGGGTCTTTCAAGCCATCTTCTGATGGTCTCCAACCATTTTTGATGCTTTCCCACCAATATCTGCCATCCTCAAACCATTTTTGATGATTCCAAGACAATCTCACTGGTTTCCCATAATTTTTGTCCCTTTCAAGCCACTTTTGATGGTTTCAAGCCAACTATTGGCGAATCCAAGCCAATTTTGGTGGGTTTGGACCAATTTTTGAAGGTTTCGAGCCCTTTCTGTTGGGTTCGAACCAACTTTTGATGGTTTTCAGACCTTTCTGTGGATTTTTCTCCATTTTTTGGCGCTCTCAAGCCAGTTTTGATGAGTTCCAGACTTTCTGTTTAGTTTGAACCAAAATTTTCACCTTTTTTTTGATGATTTCAAGACCTTGGTGTCGGGTTTTGACCAAGTTTTGGTCATTTCAAACCAATTTTGGTGGTTTCAAACCAGTTTTGGTGGTTTCACTTTTTTTGGACCATTTTTGGCCAATTTTTTTCACTTTTCAACCCACTCAAGACCTTTCCATTGGTTTTCAATCATTTTTTATGATTTTCAAACAAATTCTGGATGACTTCAAGACCTTCCCTCGGTTCCTCACCAATTTTTGTCACTTTCAGACTTTTTTTTGCCACTTTCAACCTCGTTTTGATGACTTCAAGACCTTTCTGTTGAGTTGCAACCAAGTTTTGGTGGTTTCAAGCCAATTTTGGTGGGTTTAGGTCAATTTTTGATGTTTCAAGACTTTTTGTTGGTTTGGACCAAATTTTGGTGGGTTTAAATCAATTTTTGATGTTTCAAGACTTTTTGTTGGGTTTGGACCAAATTTTGGTGATTTCAAACAATTTTTGGTAGGTTTCAACCAATTTTTGATGGTTTCAAGACCTTGTCATTGGCTTAACACCAATTTTTGGTGGTTTCAAACTGGTTTTGGTGGGTTCAAGACCTTTGTGTTGAGTGTGGAAGAAATTTTGGTGTTTCATGTCAATTTTTCTGGTTTTAGGGCAATTTTTGATGGTTTCAAGACCTTTCTGCAGTGTTTTGACCGATTCTTGATGGTTTCATCCATTTTTTGATGATTTCAAGACTTTTCTTTGGACTTTCAACCAAGTTTTGGTGGTTTCAAACAGATTTTGGTGGTTTCGAGCTATTTTTGATCATTTCATCCATTTTTTTGACTGTTTTACACCATTTTTGGTGGTTTCAAACCTATTCCATCAGTTTTTTGCCCATTTTGGACGGTTTCAAACCAATTTTGGTGTTTTCAAGACCGTTCTTTTAGGTTTAGACCAATTTCTGATGGTTTCAAGCCACGTTTTTTCCACTTTCAACCCATTTTTACCACTTCAAAGCCATTTTTGATGGTTCCAAGCCAATTCCATTTGTTCAACACCAATTTTTGACCCTTTCAACCCATTTTTGATGGCTTCAAGCCGAGCTTTGCTGGCTTCAAACCCTTTCTGTAGTGTTTTGACCAAATCCTGATGGTTTCACCCATTTTTTTTATGATTTCAAGACCTTTCTCTTGGGTTCTGACCGATTTTTGATGGTTTCACCCATTTTTGGATCATTTCAAAACTTTTCCGTTGAGTTTCGACCAAGTTTTGGCAGTTTCAAACCATTTTTCGTAGTTTCAAACCCTTTTGATTGGTTTTTTACCAACTTTTGATGGTTTCGAGCCATTTTTGTCACTTTCAAGCCATTTTTGATGGCTCCAAGCCAATTCATTTTGCTCACCACCAATTTTTGTTGCTTTCCATGAATTTTTGTCACTTTCAAACAATTTTTGATGGTTCCAAGCCAATTCCATTTGCTCACCACCAATTTTTGTTGCTTTCCATGATATTTTTGTCACTTCCAACCCATTTTTTGTCACTTCCAACCAATTTTTGATGGTTCCAAGCCAATTCCATTTGCTCATCATCAACTTCTGTCGCTTTCCCACCAACTTTTGTCTCTTCCAACCCATTTCTTGCCTTTTCCAACCGATTTCTTGTCACTTCCAACCAATTTTTGATGGTTCCAAGCCAATTCCATTTGTTCACCACCAATTTTCGACTCTTCCAACCCATTTTTTGTCACTTCCAACCCATTTTTTGTCTCTTCCAACCCATTTTTTGTCACTTCCAACCCTTTTTTCTCTTCCAACCCATTTCTTGTCACTTCCAACCCTTTTTTGACTCTTCCAACTCATGTTTTGTCTCTTCCAGCCCATTTTTGTCACTTTCAACCCATTTTTGATGGTTCCAAGCCAATTCCATTTTCTCACCACCAACTTTTGTCTCTTCCAACCCATTTTTTGTCTCTTCCAACCGTTTTTTTTGTCTCTTCCAACCCATTTTTTTGTCTCTTCCAACCCATTTTTTGTCACTTCCAACCCATTTTTGTCACTTTCAACCAATTTTTGATGGTTCCAAGCCAATTCCATTTGCTCACCATCAACTTCTGTCATTTTCCCACCAACTTTTGTCTCTTCCAACCCATTTTTTGTCACTTCCAACCTTTTTTGTCGCTTCCAACCCTTTTTTTTCTCTTCCAACCCATTTTTTGTCTCTTCCAATCCATTTTTTGTCTCTTCCAACCAATTTTTGTCACTTCCAACCCAGTTTTGATGGTTCCAAGCAAATTCCGATCTCTCACCACCAACTTTTGTCTCTTTCAACCCATTTTTGTCGCTTCCACCCCATGTTCACCACCTCAATGCCATTTTTGATGTTTCCAAGACAATTCCGTGTTCTCACCACCAACTTTTGTCACTTCCAACCATTTTTTTGTCTCTTCCAATCCATTTTTGTCTCTTTCAACCCATTTTTTTCTCTTCCAACCCATTTTTGTCACTTTCAACCCATTTTTGATGGTTCCAAGCAAATTCTGTTCTCTCACCACCAACTTTCGACTCTTCCAACCCATTTTTTGTCTCTTCCAACCCATTTTTTGTCACTTCCAACCTTTTTTGTCGCTTCCAACCCTTTTTTTTCTCTTCCAACCCATTTTTTGTCTCTTCCAACCCATTTTTGTCACTTTCAACCCATTTTTGATGGTTCCAAGCAAATTCTGTTCTCTCACCACCAACTTTCGACTCTTCCAATCAACGGATCCTACAAGGATTCATCGTTGTCCTACAAAATTCCCGGAATTATCAACGGATCCTGCAAGGATTCATCGTTGTCCTACAAAATTCCCGGAATTATCACTGGATCCCAAACTGGCAACATCTGCATCCTACAAAATTCCCAAAAAACCTGGACAACTTCAAAACACCTCCAGAAATTTTGTGGAATTTTGTGGAATTTGGTGGAATTCCTGTACCGGTGCATCCGATCTTCTCGAAGCAGAGCAGGCTGAAGAAACTTTTGGAAAACCATCAGAAAAGCCTGGAAATCCTTGGAGAATGCCAAAAAAGCTTCTGAAACCACGGAAAACCTTCAAAAAACTCTGGAAAACCTTTGGAAAACCCAAAAAAAACCTTCTCAAAACCATGGAAAACCTTGAAGAACCCCAAAAAACCTTCAGGAAACCTCAAGAAACCTCCATGGAACCCCAAGAAACCTTCGTAAAACCCCAAAAAACCTTCAGTTTTTGAGGAATTTTCATGGGAATTTTGTGGAATTTTTGGCAAACCTTTGGGAAACCTTCAGAAACCCTTGGAGGACCCCATAAAACCTTCTCAAAACCATGGAAAACCCTTGGAGAACCCCATAAAACCTTTGGAAAACCTCAAGAAACCTTCAGAAAACCTCAAGAAACCTCCAGAAAACCCCAAAAAACCTTCCTAAAACCCCAGAAATTTTGGGATTTTTGAGGAATTTTCATGGGAATTTTGTGGAATTTTTGGCAAATCTTTGGGAAACCTTCAGAAATCCCTGGAGGACCCCATAAAACCTTCTGAAAACCTCCAGAAACCTCCAGAAAACCCCAAAAAACCTTCCTAAAACCCCAGAAATTTTGGGATTTTTGAGGAATTTTCATGGGAATTTTGTGGAATTATGACAAAACTTTGGAAAACTTCAGAAATCCTTGGAGGACCCCATAAAACCTTCTGAAAACCTCAAGAAACCTCCAGAAAACCCCAAAAAACCTCCATAAAACCTTCAGAAAACGCCAGAAATTTTGGGATTTTTGAGGAATTTTCATGGGAATTTTGTGGAATTTTTGGCAAATCTTTGGGAAACCTTCAGAAATCCCTGGAGGACCCCATAAAACCTTCAGAAAACCTCAAGAAACCTCCAGAAAACCCCAAAAAACCTCCATAAAACCTTCAGAAAACGCCAGAAATTTTGGGATTTTTGAGGAATTTTCATGGGAATTTTGTGGAATTTTTGGCAAATCTTTGGGAAACCTTCAGAAATCCCTGGAGGACCCCATAAAACCTTCAGAAAACCGCAAGAAACCTCCAGAAAACCCCAAAAAACCTCCATAAAACCTTCAGAAAACGCCAGAAATTTTGGGATTTTTGAGGAATTTTCATGGGAATTTTGTGGAATTGTTGACAAACCTTTGGGAAACCTTCAGAAATCCTTGGAGGACCCCGTAAAACCTTCAGAAAACCTCAAGAAACCTCCAGAAAACCCCAAAAAAACCTTCATAAACCTCAAGACACCTCCAGAAAACATTCAGAAAACCGCGGAAATTTTGGGATTTTTGCGGAATTTTCATGGGATTTTTGCAGGATTTTTGTGGAATTTTTGGGAATTTTGGGGAATTCTCGTACCGGTGTAGCCGATCAAACCTTCAGAAAACCTCAAGAAACCTCCTTAAAACCTTCAGAAAACGCCAGAAATTTTGGGATTTTTGAGGAATTTTCATGGGAATTTTGTGGAATTTTTGGCAAATCTTTGGGAAACCTTCAGAAATCCCTGGAGGACCCCATAAAACCTTCAGAAAACCTCAAGAAACCTCCAGAAAACCCCAATAAAACCTTCAGAAAACCTCAAGAAACCTCCAGAAAACCCCAAAAAAACCTTCATAAAACCTCAAGAAACCTCCAGAAAACCCCAGAAAACCTTTGGAAAATGCCAAAAAACCTCCATAAAACCCAAAAAAAATCCATGAATCCCCGGAAATTTCAGGATTCTTTGTGGGTTTTTGTGGAATTTTTGGGGGTTTCCGTACCGGTGTAGCCGATCTTCTCGAAGCTGAGCAGGCTGAAGATGCTGTTGTAGAGCTGCATCTCCTTCTTTGGAAAACCCCAAATAAACCTTGAAAAACCTTGGCAAACCTTTGGAAAACCTTCGGAAAACCTCTAGAGGACCCCATAAAACCTTCTGAAAACCATGGAAAATCCTTGGAGAACCCCAAAAAACCTTCTGAAAACCATGGAAAACCTTTGGAAAACCCCATAAAACCTTTGGAAAACCTCAAGAAACCTCCAGAAAACTCAAGAAACCTCCATGGAACCCCAAAAAACCTTCTGAAAACCATGGAAAACCTTTGGAAAACCCCATAAAACCTCTGGAAATCCTTGGCAAATCCTTGGAGAACCCCAAAAAACCTTCTGAAAACCACAGAAAAGCCTTGGAGGACCTCATAAAACCTTCTGAAAACCATGGAAAACCTTTGGAAAACCCCATAAAACCTCTGGAAATCCTTGGCAAATCCTTGGAGAACCCAAAAAAACCTTCTGAAAACCATGGAAAACCTTTGGAGAACCCCAAAAAACCTTCTGAAAACCACAGAAAAGCCTTGGAGGACCTCATAAAACCTTCTGAAAACCTTGGAAAAACCTTGAAGAAACCCATAAAAACTCTGGAAAACCTTCTGAAAACCATAGAAAACCTTTGGAGAACCTCATAAAACCTTTAGAAAACCTCAAGAAACTTCCATAAAACCCCAAAAAACCTTCGTAAAACCACGGAAATTTTGGGATTTTTGCGGAATTTTGGGATTTTTGTGGGAATTTTGGGGGTTTCCGTACCGGTGTACCCGATCTTCTCGAAGCTGAGCAGGCTGAAGATGCTGATGTAGAGCTGCATCTCCTTCTTTGGAAAACCCCAAATAAACCTTGAAAAACCTTGGCAAACCTTTGGAAAACCTTCGGAAAACCTCTAGAGGACCCCATAAAACCTTCTGAAAACCATGGAAAATCCTTGGAGAACCCCAAAAAACCTTCTGAAAACCATGGAAAACCTTTGGAAAACCCCATAAAACCTCTGGAAATCCTTGGCAAATCCTTGGAGAACCCAAAAAAACCTTCTGAAAACCATGGAAAACCTTTGGAGAACCCCATAAAACCTTCTGAAAACCTCAAGAAACCTCCATAAAACCCAAAAAAACCTTCGAAAAACCATGGAAAACCTTTGAAGAACCCCAAAAAACCTTCAGAAAACTTTGACAAATCCTTGGAGAACCCCATTAAAACCTTCTGAAAACCATGGAAAACCCTTGGAGAACCCCATAAAACCTTCTGGAAACCCCAAAAAACCTTTGGAGAACCCCAAAAAAAGTTTGGAAAATTCTCTGAAAACAACAGAAAACCTTTGGAGAACCCCAAAAAACCTTCTGAAAACCTCAAGAAACCTCCAGAAAACCCCAAAAAACCTTTCTAAAACCACGGGAATTTTGGGATTTTTGTGAATTTTTGGGAATTTGGTGATTTTCCGTACCGGTGTAGCCGATCTTCTCGAAGCTGAGCAGGCTGAAGATGCTGTTGTAGAGCTGCATCTCCTTCTTTGGAAAACCCACAGAAAACCTTGGCAAACCCTAAAAACCTTCTGAAAACCTCAAGAAACCTCCATAAAACCCAAAAAAACCTTCGAAAAACCATGGAAAACCTTTGAAGAACCCCAAAAAACCTTCAGAAAACTTTGACAAATCCAAGGAGAACCCCATTAAAACCTTCTGAAAACCATGGAAAACCCTTGGAGAACCCCATAAAACCTTCTGGAAACCCCAAAAAACCTTTGGAGAACCCCAAAAAAAGTTTGGAAAATTCTCTGAAAACAACAGAAAACCTTTGGAGAACCCCAAAAAACCTTCTGAAAACCATGGAAAACCTTTGGATGACCTCATAAAACCTTCTGAAAACCTCAAGAAACCTCCATAAAACCCCAAAAAACCTTTCTAAAACCACAGAAATTTTGGGATTTTTGCGGAATTTTGGGATTTTTGTGGGAATTTTGGGGGTTTCCGTACCGGTGTAGCCGATCTTCTCGAAGCTGAGCAGGCTGAAGATGCTGTTGTAGAGCTGCATCTCCTTCTTTGGAAAACCCACAGAAAACCTTGGCAAACCCTAGAAAACCTTCTGAAAACCATGGAAAACCCTTGGAGGACCTCATAAAACCGCTGAGCAGGCTGAAGATGCTGTTGTAGAGCTGCATCTCCTTCTTTGGAAAAACCCAAAAATCTTGGCAAATCTTTGAAAAACCTTTGCAAAACTTTCTCAAAACCATGGAAAACCTTTGGAGAACCCCATAAAACCTTCTGAAAACCTCAAGAAACCTCCATAAAACCCAAAAAAACCTTCGAAAAACCATGGAAAACCTTTGAAGAACCCCAAAAAACCTTCAGAAACCATGGAAAACCCTTGGAGAACCCCAAAAAAACTCTGGAAATCCTTGGCAAATCCTTGCAGAACCCCAAGAAACCTTCTGAAAACCATGGAAAACCCTTGGAGAACCCCAAAAAAACTCTGGAAATCCTTGGCAAATCCTTGCAGAACCCCAAAAAACCTTCTGAAAACCTTGGAAAACCTTTGGAGAACCCCAAACCTTCTGAAAAAGATGGAAAACCCTTGGAGGACCTCATAAAACCGTTGGAAAACCTTCTGCAAACCATGGAAAACCTTTGAAGAAACCCATAAGAACTTTGGAAAACCTTCTGCAAACCATGGAAAACCTTTGAAGAAACCCATAAGAACTTCTGAAAACCATGGAATACCCTTGAAGAACCCCAAAAAACCTTCTGAAAACCTCAAGAAACCTTCATAAGACCCCAAAAAACCTTCGTAAAACCTCAAGAAATCCCCATAAAACCCCATAAAACCTTTGTAAAACGCCAGAAATTTTGGGATTTTTGTGGAATTTTTATGGGATTTTTGCAGGATTTTTGTGGAATTTTTGACAAACCTTTGGAAATCCTTGGAGAACCGCA